CACATAATTCATCTGTCCACAGGGCACTAGAAAAATGAACCACAACGGCTGAATTAAATGTGGTCTCTCCTCCTGCCCTGCTCCACGACCACACTGGGAAAGCGATTCCAGTTATTTAGGGATCAGGGAGATTGTATCAGCTTTGCCTGTCTTCCTTGATACTTTTCCAGTGCTGGAGGCAAAGCTGAATGAAAGGCGAGTGTGCACTATTTTTACTCACATTATTTTAACACACAATCAGAAAAATCTCACGATAATTTTCCCCAGCATTAGTCTGATTCATTTAGTGGCTTTGAATTATTTTTTTCTATGCCACTAGCAAAATATCTAGGTACACCACTCCTAAACCAAGACATACGAAGGAAAGCTGTGGTCACAGAACAATTTTTCACTTCAGGTCAAGTTTTCAAACTAAGAGGTCACTTTCATGATTGGCTTTAGCTACATCGCTGAATTTAAAAAAAAAAAAAAGAGTTAATATCATTTTACATTTGTTAAGAGTTCAATGGTTCTAAAACGGTTTGTTCAATACATTGGCACATCTAATACAACATCCTTGTGGAGAGCCACTAATTGTTCTCATTTTTCGGAAAATGAAATTGAGGTTCAGACAGACAAGTGAATGGCTTGGTGGTTCTAAATATTTGGTCCAATATGCCTTTCCCATCACAGACGATGTCCTCACATAATGGATGGCCACTAGTTAGTTACCTGTCAGATTAACGTTATAACCTGTCCATCTAGCAGATGGGGAGCAGGAGGCTGATTTCAGTTGTACTTGGGGTTCACATTAATCAGAGTGAACTTAGTGCTCATTTAGTCCAGTCTTGGAGTAGACTTGCCTTTCAAAGCATCCCTGACAGATGACTACACCCTACAACGGCACCTCCCATCCCTGTCTTCTCTTATTCTGTTTTATGTTTCTTTGCAGAACTTCCTGCTTCCTAGAAATATACTACATAGTGGTAGTTAATTTTATGTGTCAACTTGACTAGTCCATGAGGTGCCCAGACATCTGAGTGGTCTGTGTTTCTGGGTGAGACGAACACTCGAATCTGCAGGCTGAGGAAAGCGGATGGCCCTCCCTCGTGTGGGTGGCCCTCATCCAACTGACTGAAGACCTGAACGGAACAAAGAGGCTGAGTAAAAGGTAAGTGCTCCTGCCTGGCTGCCTGAGTCGGAACATTGGGCTCAAACTGAAACACACGCTCTTCTTGGATATGGAGCCTGCCAGTTTTCAGACTGGAACTTACACAATGGGCTCTCCTGGGTGTCCAGCTTGCCAACTGCAAATTTTGGGATTCTAGCCTCCAAAATCACATGAGACAATTCCTTACAAGAAATCTCTCTCTCTATGTATATATATGTCCTTGATTAATCATACAGTTATTTATTTATTGACTACGGCAGACACTTTTCATTGCTTTCTACCATTTAATGACTGCTTTCATCAGATGCTTTGCATATGTCTTTTCCATTTAAGCCTGATATTAATTCTGTAAGATAGATGTTCTTCTCACTCCACTAAAAAAGAAAGGTTAAGTAATTTGAAAGGTTAAATAACTTGCCCATCATCACACTGGGCAGGTAGAAAAGCTGGAATTCAAATCCAGAACTGACTCCATAGCCTAAATCACTTAGCTATTGGAGTATTCAACTCTTATCACAGAAGTATTTGAAAGGAAAGAAGGGAGAAAGTGGGGGTGGGGGGCAGAGGAGAAGAGAGGGAAAGGGAGGGATGGG